ATACATACATACCCCCAACAACAACGCTCTGCCTACATAACACTATTATCGCCTATCTTTTATTTACTTTTCTACTTTCATACCACTTTATTCTACCTAACCAATATCCGTCTAAAATCCAATAAAACCCTTGGACACTTATGCGCGCACACAAATACACCCACACACACGCACACACACCACTTATCACTCACTGACCCACCGCTTCTACTTACCACTTATTGCTACCAACCACCCAACCATTCCAACGCAATCCAAAAACAAAACAAAACAAAAAAACAAATACTGTCAAACGCCTGTTCATGCCTTCATACATATTTACATACATACATATACATGCATACATACATACATACAATACATACTTCGCCATCGCAATCTCATCACACCTCATTCACATTTTGCAGGTTCATCCACTTTGCCACGCTCCGTAGGCTCTCGCATAACCGATGTCGATGTCGGTGGACAACAGAAGGTGATGGCGAACGCCACCAGCAGCACATCATTGTATGATAATGTAGCCGGCAGTGGCGGTGTAGGCACACAATCTATGAATGCCGTTGGCTGCTGTCTCTTATACACATCTAGATGTGTATAAGAGACAGTCATTGTATGATAATGTAGCCGGCAGTGGCGGTGTAGGCACACAATCTATGAATGCCGTTGGCGGACAGGGTAAGTGCATAATAATATATGTATGTATGTATTATATATACGAGAAACCGATTGAAAAGTCTCTATTTACCATGCGGTCATATATTTATTTATATAGGTATTTATACATATTATATAAGTTTTGACAGCATTACATAAGAGATTAGCGAAAGTAAGACACTGTGAAAAAATAGTGAACAGAAATCTTAGATKAGGTTTCGGTGGTTCGCCGTAGGACAGTAGAAACATCAGTCCAATGTGAAAGACCTAAATACAATAAACACCCTTTGTTTGTAAATATCCTTTTCTTGCCACGAAACGTTTTGATTTAAGTATGTAGTATCCACTTGCTAGCCAGAAAATCGAGTTACTTTGGAATACATTGTTTTTTTTTTCGAAAAACTTTGAAGTTTTGGATTCCCTTGATTCCATAGCCGATATCTCGAAGAGCTCCGAATAAAAGTGCTTAGCGGTGAGAAACAATTTTCAGCATAAAATTATCTTGCATCACAAAAATAAACATAAAAAAAATTATTATTAGAGAGTAATATACGGCATCGAAGAACCAGTCAAAATTTTGAATCTTACCAAAAATATAGAGAATGATCGAAGAACAAGTAAACATTTGTAATTTTGTCTTTTATTCCTTTGATCATTAACTGGCAAATATATCTAAGAGTTATCCAAGAAAAWTTGAGTTCAATCGGTCCTCCGTTTTCCGTTTCCGTTTCTTCATCGACTCTGGAAACAGCCTTTGACAAAAAAGYGTTTAAAGTTTTACAATCAGTCAAAAAGTTCTTACTCAGACTTCTCTGTATACTCCGAAACTTAATATCGGATCAATTATCATCCATCACAGCTGCTTATCCAAYAGCTAATACTGTTGGTAGACATGGCGAGACCGGCAATAATACAGTCTTTAAGATCTTTCATGTTCCTACTCGCAGTAATAAATAGAGCTTCGTAATCATACGTTGAGCCTTCGACCGTTTACCAGGTATTCTGCTCTACATAGGTGGAATGACCCTGATTTTATATCTTCTCAAGAACTATCACTTTAACAGGGTAACATTTTATGATCAAAGGAAGTTTGCGTAGCTYAGTAAGTTCACGCATTTCCCAGCTTTGGCTAAAAATATGAAAACTCACTTGCGTCAGCGGGAACTGCGAAGTTTCGTTTGCCATAAAGCCCTTTTTTCTAAGTAAAAGGTCAATTGAAAAGTCTTCGACCTACCATCGTAAAACACAGTTTTTGGTAAAACTTGTTTTTTTGTTTTATTCAAAATATTTAGTTCCCTTCAAGGTTGTTTGTAGCGACCGTCCAACATTTCAATACCATTTTTAGGTGAGACTTGACGTTTGTTTGGAAATAGGCCCCGGTCGATCACCTCTTAATTCGACAAAT